CAACGTGCTCTGGGCGGGAGAGAAACTTGCAGAGCTGAGGCTGTGATTGCTGTGAAGGAAGGGCGCTGCAGTCCCTCAGCAGCTGGATAAATGTTATTAAAAGTGAGAGAAGGGGAAAAAAAGCCCACAAAAACAAGTTTTGGAAAAATCCTTGTCAAACAATACCTGTTGTGGGAACTGCTTTCAGTAAGATGCAGATGCGTTACCCTTTAGTTTTTGCAACGGTTCTGAGCTGCTTCATTAATAACAGACTTGTTTGGGAGAGTGACAAGATGGGAACCAGCACTGTAATTACACACTACTCTTTTTGTGAGGACTGCCACAAAAACAAGTGTGTTCTCATTTCCTCCAAAGGCAAGCAGGGAAACAAATTTCTAACACCTTGACCTATGTTACAGGTGGATGCTGTTCCAGAATGACATGAATCAATTAAAAGTGAAAATGTAACCCATAGAAACATTATTCAGTAGGCTTCATACAAAAGAAGGCATTTCTACTTGCCTAATTAAAGGATAATGAAAAAAAAATTGTATATTTTTGGTAATACTTGTGGAAGTACATTGCTTTTTTCTCAGAAGTCAGATAATCATAGCACAAACAATTAACAAAAGAAAAATGTTTCCTTTTCCTGAAGTTGGCTAATTAAAAACTTTCTCCCTCATCAATTCACTGAACATCGAAGGAGACATTCCATGGCTTTTTAGTACCTGGAATGCCATATTTATTTTTCAGTTGAAAAACTGCATTGTAGTGAACTGCCACGAACACAGCTTACCTGGACTCTTTAAATAAAGCAGTGATAATCTTTATCATTGCTCTCTTGACTTTGTTTCAACATTCTTTTTAATGCAAATTTCCTAATCTAACTTGTAAAACATTTAGTATTTAGAATATACTCCTTTAAGATCCATCAAAAGAGGCAAAGCTGCATAACAATGCCTGGTGCTGGAGCATTGTGAGCCTGCTACAAAGGAATGAGGTGATTCTTTCTTTCAGGTCAGGAGGTCAGGCTTCACTGCATTAATTTTGCTGAGTCTCTTTGTTATTTATAACAAACAAGGTCATTTATTTTCATTTCCTTGTTTCTAATTGCATGCATCTCCTTTGGAGTATGAACTCGGTAAACAGGTGGCTGAAATGCTGGGGAAAATGCTTGAAGCTGTTCCAGAAAAAGGGCATGTCCCACACTGGTAAAGCAATTTGATGAGTTAGAGACTTAGTCAGAGCAGGATGTGCACCTGCTTGAAAGCAAACACACTTCTCTTTGGCACACACAGATACACACATATTAAAAGAGATTATTTCACTCTGAATGGTGGGTTGATATTTGATCAAATTTAACACTGTATATTTTGAATAAAGCCTCGGTGTATATTAGTGAAATACCATCTCTTTTCAGCTGCTTTTGATTTTTTTTTCAACTTCTCTTTGAGTATTACCAATGAATGATATTTCTTCACTAGCTGAGCCTACAAAAAGAGTATGTCTCTGGAGGAGAACTTTATCAGGGAATCTTTATGATGAAAACTACCTCTGTGCACTGAAAAAAAAAAAAAAAAAAAGGATAATGAAAAGCTAGGATGTTTGACTGACAAGGAATAAACCAGATCTTACATTTTTTATTCTGAAACGAATTCCCACAAATTAAAGGGCATTTACTGGAGTGATAGCAGTATGTCTTTTTAATCCTGTAAAACCCACGTTTCCAGGCAGCCCAAACAGAACTCCTAAATACATTCATGGGCAGCTTTTGCATAGGTAGTTATTGAATTTGCATTTGAAAATATAGGCCCTGTATGGCCAAATCTGTGGCTGTTTTGTCCTGAAAGATGAGATACACTATGGGCTACCTTGATTTCAGGGGTAGTTCAGAATATAGCAGGAAGCAGTAATAGTCTGGCATGACTGAGCTCCTCTTGTTTGAGAACCGGCCCAGGGCTGAATCCATAAGGGAAACAGAGGGAGCTTTTTTAGCAAGGTCTTCTACTTCTCCAGAGAATGGGAGGCACCACACCCTGTGTCCATAGGCTCTGCATGAGCTTTGGAGCTTAAGAAACTGTCTCTGAGCAAGAGGAAAATGTGGGAGGAAAGCTGGAGAGATGAACATGCCATTCCAGGGGACAATTGTTTTGTCTGTTTTCTAAGATTGGGCATCAAGGGGTTGTTTGGAGGAGGCTCTGTATCCTCCGCAAGTATCCTCCCGCTTAACTTGTTGTTTTCTGCAGATTATTTCCTAAGAGTGGGGCAGGAGAGGCAATTTGGTTGTAAGGATTACGCTACAGCTATCATTGTTTACGATGCACACTGTAGCCTTTCTATGAGACGAATACTGTCCTGGGCTTCTCTTTCCATGCATATGAAAATATACTTTGTAATTTCAGGGAGAAAATATCTTTAAATGGTATGTTGGAGGAAAGAAAATATTTTGTATTTCTAAAAATAATAAAAATCCAAACCCTTTCTTTAGCAAAATATTTGTTTCTTGAATGTAATTATAAATGTCATTGTACATTCTTTCTGACTTCAATGCTTATCTTGAGGAGTTCAGTGAAAATAAATTGTTTTCATGAAAGCAGAGAAGCCATTTGATAAACACACTGTCTCAGAAAATTGTTCCTGAAGCAGAGGTCGTTCTCTCACTTTAAAAGAAAGAGAATATGTTTTAGAAAACAAGCCAGGCAGCAGAAAAAAGCATTTTTTGTTTCAGACAATTCATTTTAAAAAGCAATGTGTAAATCACATGGAAAATTCTCCATTGATTATTTTGACTGCTGTAGAACCCTGGAATAAATGAAGTTGAAATAGACTTATATCAAAAACATTGCATTTAGTAGCAAGTCGGAGTGTTATTCTACTACTGATTTTTTTTTTTTAGATTTGGTTTTGTGATCAGATGTTTTATTAAATATTAGCCATTCATGGAAATGAGGACTGAGTCTTTAAGAACAGCTTGGCACATACTGTTCATGAGCTTGAAGAAATAAGTCTAGAGAACTGGAATCTGTCTTCAGCTTTTCAATGTCAAAAATACAGCCCATTGAGGCATTAGAATTAAAAAAAAAAAACTCATAACAACATAAGCCCTGAATGGAAGTATAGCAGTTTGTTTTGGAGAAGTTATTGCAATTCTAATTACGTTTTCAGAAATCTGTTAATTTTTACTCTAATGAGTTTATGTATGTGTCTATTACTAAGGCCCAAACTCTATTGTACAAGTCCTTTTAAAATAGTGCTTCCATTTTTTTTAATCCTCAGCTAGAATTATGCTGCTATTAATACCAGGGTTATTAATATGCTCTCAGAAGACTACATCATTAATTAGGAGACCTAAAGGATAACTAATGGGTCCTTTGGAAGACTATTCCCAGTTATTGCATGGATCTGATCTGTCCAAATAAAGCTGTACATCTACAGTCTTATCAAATTTTGTTTGTATCTTTGTATTCTCTGGAACTTATCATTAATTATTTTATGTTATCACAAGCGCCAGTAGAAGGTGTGACATTAATAACACAGTAGATCACTGTAACATTTGAAAGGGACACGATAGTGGCATTTTTTAATAATGACTTTTGTTTTTAAGGTATGACTGTAAAACTATACACAGCTTTTTACCTTATATCTTGGTAGTGTCTCATCAAGTCCTTCACTGGCTTCCAAAAGATGACCAAGAGCCCATCCCTTTCACAGCCACCAACAAAGGATGTGCACTGTGGTCCCTGAGAGTGCACACAACTCCCTTCCCAGCTCCCAGGGACAGCCAGGGAACTGCTCCCCTTCTCCCCAGGGTACCACAGAGCTCTCAAGGGTGAGTGTGTGCTTTATAGTGCAATGCGTGCACCTCGAACACATCAGAGGTCACAGAGCTGTATGGGTATAGTTCATTACCTATTCAAACAATGTATGAGTGAATCTGTTGCAGATAGAAGGGTTAAACATAACTTTTCTCGCCTGGAAAAACTCTTCACCATATCTCACTAAGACTTTTCAGAGATGTTTCATTAAAATAATTCTTTCAGTAATTAGACTTGACTCTACTGTAAAATCCAAGTTTCTGCTGGGGATACTCTTCTAAACACAGAAATTTAAAGAAGAATTTGGATTGCTCGTGGTGAGCATATTTTTCTTTCTGTAGACATTGTCCTTTTAAATTCCCTATAAAAGTAGGTGCAAGTAGCTTTTTTCCACCCCTTTTATAATAATTCCAGCAGTTTAAATGCAACAAATTTATGAATGTGGAGAGAGAGAAGAAGAAAACCAGAAACATACCACACATTCCTATATTAACAAATTTTATACATATATATATACACACACATACATACATACATACATACAGTGCCATTTCTAAACAAGTTTTCCTGTTTTGCTTTGAAATGGCATCCCTGGAAGAAAGGAATACACTGCTACAATTTCTTAGTTTCAGTTAATTTTATTCTTTAATGCTAATCTAGAAATGACATTGTTCCAGTCATTGTTCTCCCAAAGTCAATTCTTATATTACTGGACAGTTCCTTTTCTGTTTTCAGTACTGCAATCAGTTAGTTTTTCAACATGGTCTTTATCTCACAATAACTGTGTACTAGTATGTGAGGATACTATAACACTGCATTCAATAGCAACAGGATATTTACTCTGCCAAAAAGTAATCCTATATTGTCCATTACACACAGGTTATTTTGGAAGATTGTGGAATACTTTCTTTAAAGCAGCAGCAGCAACCTTTTTGCTGTAGCATTGTTCAACAGTATTAGTGGTTGTCTCTGCTCTCTAAACAACTCAAACACCCGTTTTTCTGCTAGAATATGGTTAGAAATATTTTATGGGATTTGAGGTGGGAGAATACTTCAGTTAAGGTAAGAGACTTCAGCAATCCACAGAAACACTGAGGCAGGCACATGTAAATGGCTGAAAAGTTTAATAATTTTACTTTTTCCCCAGTTTCACAAAGTAATGCATTTCCTGACTTGGGCCTGAAAGAAATAGAATTCAGGCAGTTGTGATTTTTTTTTTCCCTGCAACAATCCATACTTGTATTTTGAAACAGTGATTTGTATTTATAAGGAACGGCTATAAAAATAGTTTCAAAAAAATCCTTTGATTTGTAGTTCTTTAACTGTAGCAACTGAGACAAAGAGAAGGTAAATGATCATCTGGTAGACAAGCACTAAACTCCAGCTCCCCTGATTATTTGGCTTCTCCAATCTGCTGGCTGAAATTTCCTCCTTTACTGCAGGAAACGTAGTCAGTGACTAATAAGTGTTTATTGATCTCTGCTTGAGATACTTGCTGAGAAATGTAGATATCAATGAATATTTGGTCTGAATTAATGTTAAGAACAAAAGTTTTTTTCCTTATGGCCTCATTTATGCAGGGTATCCATGCCTGCCTCATCACTTATAAATGACAGCTGACTCTACAATCTGATGAGAAGTGGACTTCAGTGAGACAAACTCTAATGAATTAATACGCTACTAATTGTACTTTTTCTTAGCTAAAAGTTACCGGTGTAGTTGTTGCTTTGAAGGGTAAGTCAAAATATCATTGATTCTCAGCAGCTGTACTTGGTAAGTAGAATATAGGTCTAATTCAAAGCCCATTGCAATCAATTAAAGGGACTCTCTATTGATTCAAGGAGCCTTTAGATTCTTTTCTAAACCAGGCCCGGTTGGTGTTGTCTTTATTTTCTCCTTCTGTATTCCACCCCTTTTGTTTTGTGCCCTTCCATCCTGCACATGTGCTCTGGGGCGAAGGGGCTAAGACAGTCTTCCTTAACAGGTGACATCAGGGATACTGTTTTCCTCCCTCTCCTCTTGTTCCTCCCAGTTCTTGCAGAAGCCAACAGACACGGTGTAGGAGACTGGAAGAAAAGGTGGGCCCCACAGGAAACATGGAAGCACAGGCGCATCTGGGGACAGCCCCAGAGGACCAGAGCAGACCCAAGGACAGTGACAGGGATGCTGAGGATGAGCTCCTTGCCTGGGATTGGGAAGCTGCTGAGAGCACTCTGGATCCTAAGGTGATGACTTTCTACTTCTCTCTCTCCCCTTTTCTTTCTTTCTTCTCCCACCTTCCTCGCCAAATGTCTTGTAAAGCAGACCAAAGAATTCTACCAAGTGCCTTGTTGTGTCTGGAGAAGTTTGCTGAGTTAAGGTCTGCAAAGTGCCTTACTTTGTCTGAATGTTTTCAAATTTGTCAAGTACCTTGCTCTACTTGAATGTTCTGAAGATAGCAAGTAAAAGTTGTTATTGAATCTCCTGAATGAATTTCAGGTCTTCTAAATACTGGCTTTGCACTGTAAAACTGGAACAAAGAGTTTCAGTGCAGCCTTGGCTTGTTCCACCCCTTCTCCCTCATTTTCCTGCCCCCTTCCATGCTTGCTGCCTTTGCCAGTGGGAGGGAACTGTGAGGCCAGAGACAGGGGTGCTGAGGTGCAGGGCTGGTGGAGGACTTGGCAGGCCATCTCAGCATTTGGGTGTTAGGGACCTGGTGTGTTTGCTCTTATCTTTGAGGTTCCTTCCTGACCCTGTGATTTGTCGGAGTAAATCTTCCACTGCCTTTGGTTTCTGTATAATGACAACAACAAAAAAGTTACTGAGCCTCTGATAACTATTTCTACGTTACAGATTGGCAGACTGACACAAGGTTTGCAAAGTAGTTTGCAGAGGCTGTAAAGGGTACCAATTTGTCCTGGTACAAAAAAAAGACTCGCCAGGCTTGTGTGGGAATCAGCCAGGACTGGAACATTTCTATTTATCTGTGCAAGTTGAAAGGTTTCTGGGCAGTAGTGAGAATTTGTGCAGGCACACTTTCAAGTTTGTATATGACTGATTCACTCAATACAATTTCTGTTCTTACATCAGAAAAGCAGTTTGAGTGTTCTTAATGGCTTTTAAAATTGAATTGTGATGATGAGTCAGAAGAAAGTATAGCTGAAGATGGAACAGAGTCACCATTTGTGTGTTGCTGACTGAATCATAATTGCTGGCACCAGTAGGCATACATTCAAACCCTTATGGAACAAGGCTTTTCAAAAAGTTTCTTCGAAATGAAGGCTACCAGGACCAGGGAAATTACTGGAGTACTCCATTTATTGTAGATTTCCATTTGCTTTCATTAAACCAGCAGAAAAGAAGGGAATATTTACTCAAAACTGCAAATACTTCATACTTCCAACCACTCTGAAAAAAGAAAAAAAAAAGTAGAATTCCAAATCCAGAGTTTTACTGAAGGAACTTAGAGAATAGCTTGAGAGAAGAATTTGTTGGACTCCTTTCAAGCATCATGTACAGAAAGTTATAAATACTTTGGCTCATATTCCATCTCTAATGTACTCCTGAGATAAATATATTGTAACTAACAAACAGGTATGATGTCATGTATATGGATTAAAAGTCTAGCAGAGGTTACTCAAGTTTACTTATTTTATAAACTATACTAGAGACATGTTGAGAAAGGAAAATATACACTTGCCTAATTATTTAGTTTGTAAAATTCTGGTACCACATCACATAAAACCACATTTTATTTAAAAAGAAAAACAAATTAGCATATATATCCCAGTTTCTCTTCAGTTTTTCTTTAGATCATTTTAGATCACATATTAGTTCCACTGTGGTCTTACTTGTTCTGGAAAAGACTTACTTTGGGTACTAGGCAGAGGTAACAAAGCAAGATTATAGTCAAGGACTGGATTTTTGCTGTTGTTGGAAACATAAAATTTCTGTGGTTTAGTTTCAAAATTGTATAAACAGTATCTCAAGAGTTTTCATTAACTACTACTTTGGGGATAAGTGTTTTGCTGAACTTGAGCATAATTACTTTTTTCAACCCTCACTTTTTCCATTTCAATTTTACATTAACTTTCTGAGCCAGTGATGTCAAAATGGAATATTCTGAGGTATTAGTCTTATTTTCAGAAGCAACTGTGTTGGAAACCGTATATCCCATGAGAATACTTGAAATTATCATTATTTACCTCACTCCTGAACTTTACCCTCCTAACCCAGCAGCAGCAGCCGCCTGCCCATGGAGCACCTGGTGTGCCTCCTGCCGGCTGCCTCTGCTCCACAGGCTCATTTCTGGCCCTGGAGCAGAGGCCACTGCTCCAACAGTGGGACAGAAGAGATGACTTGGGCTGGTCAGCTGGGGCTGCCCTGCCAGGCAGGAGCTGTGCAGCAGCCAAAGCAGGCCATATGCTGCCCATGTATCACATAGGTCAGCAGCCTTTCAGTGGCTGCTCAGTGTGGCAACAGACCCAAATCCTAAACTTGGAATCATTTGCTGTTTGGTCCTTACTGAAGTAGTTTCCCTCTGAATTCAGTGGGAATGTGCTTTCGGTTTTTGTTGAAAGTGTAGAGACTCAGAGCTAGCCAGTCTGGAAATCGCTGTACTAATATAGCAGAGCACCCCAGAACTTGATGCCAATGATCTGTTTCTCTACTTGAGAATCTGCTTATTCCAACATGTATGCTTGGGTTTATGGAAATGTTTGTCACCCAAGGTACAAAACAAAGCAGGTATTACTCTATTAACCTCGGCTGAAATGTGTTTGCTGTGCCTGTATGCTACCACTTTTCTGTTGCTGCGTTGAAGAAATGCTCTAATGCAATGTTGCATTCTGAAACAGCTTCAGTGTCTTTTTCTGAACAATTTGCTTCTCTCAGGAGCATAAATAATTTTCGCCACAGGTATGGGGTGTGCTTGTGCGAACACTCTGCGCTGTACGTTCCTTAACCATTTTCTTTCTAGCAACGGAGTACATCTTGCAGGTGTTTTTTCCCCCTTGGTTAAAAATGGTTGACACAATAAATATGAAATTGGATTAGCTATTCAACAGAATATGCCTATTATCTTTGCTATTGAGGTATTTGCCCATTTTCTGCCCAGTTTTCTAGAGAGTTAAATTCTCAATATTCCATGTAAGTACAAATGTATCTGTGTTTAATTCTGCTCTCAGTACATACTAGAGATCTTCACTTCAAAGTGTGATACGTCAGAATCTATATGTGGCATAAAGGTGATCTGGTATGTCCTGTGCTACCAGGAACTACCTGTGCCACCATAAATATTGAACATAAAATTTCTAGGAATGGAGGTGGGAAGATGTTCCCTTTTTACATGTTGTAGCTATTGACTGTTTTATGGTTTGCTCCCTGGGTGTCTAGATCGTGTAGAATCATGCCTGGAGAGGGAGTGTGGGGCACTGAGCTTTTAAGACAGGCGTCAGTCAGAAGCGGGACTGAGCATCGGACCAGGTAGTCAGTCTGTCCTTGGCAGCCACGCAGAGATGCAGAGACCTTTTGAGAAGGTCTTTCTGCTGTTGTAGAGTTAAACCTTGTATATTTGTGTTGTCATTGCTATGTTGCAACCAAATGGAGTAAACTCAGTATGGGGTGCACTTTTAGTTGTATTATAACTGCCCAGGAATCTCTCCTAGACCCAAAAGGTGATGCTCTCCCCGTCACAAGAAGCCTTGAGTAAAGGCTTTTCATCCTTCTTCCTCGCATCTTGTCTGCAGGGCACAAGTAATGAGGTTAAGTGGTCTTTGTACTGCTTTAGTGTTTTCTCCAAAAGTTCTGGAGCAGGATTTCGGGTCAGAAAGGATCCATGCAAAGGAGCAAATAGTGCAGGGCAGTACCTATGACTGACTAAACAAATTTGGGTTATTAGCGGATTGCTTTGACTCACCAACCAGAGACTTTGCGAGTTCGGAGAGGTTTCTTTGAGGCAGGCTACTGTGATTTAAAGTCCTGCTCTTGACAGAACGCTAGAAAAATCTCCTTTCTTCTGCCACCAACCTGACGCAGCAAGGCAGCGGTGTCAATCGATAAAGTGCATTACCAAAAAAAAAAAAAAAGAGAGAGAAGGCAAAAAACTGGTGGAAGCGGTGAAAGTTACTCACCTGGAACCTTCGGGGAGCGAGGACAGCCATGGGAAGCGCAGCTGCCGCTCCCGGCCCCGCTCCGGCCCCGCACCGGGCGGGGGGGCTGCGGGCGGGCGGGCGGCGGGAGGGGCGCGGCGGGGCGGGGAGGGGCGCGGGCCCGGCCGCTCCTCCCGGGGAGCGCTGCCAGCGCGGCGCCGGTCGCTCGGCACTTCGCCCCGCAGCCCGGCCCGGCCAGCGCAGCCCCTGTTGCACCAACTCCGGGGTAGCCGCCCCCCTCCCCGGCAGCGCGGGGCGGCCCCGCCGTGTCCCGCTCCCCCGGCCCCGCGGCGGGGACGGTCCCCCCCGCCTTTGTCGGGCGGGCAGCGGCGGCCGGTCCGTCCGTCCGTCCGCGCCGGGCGCGTGGCTCCTTTGTGTACAGCAGCTGCTCCTGAATGCGGAGGCAAAGCCCGTGGCTTGGCACTGAGCTTTTAAAAAACAACAGCCCTCCCTCCCTCCCTCCTTCCCGCTCCCCTGCCCTCCCTCCTTCCCTCCCCTCCCCTCCTCCCTCCGAGGTGGACGGGCACCCACCTGGGGTCCGCCGCCCACCTCTCCTCTCATCCTCCTCTCTTCTCCTCCTTGTTTACCTGCACTTTTCCGCCGCCTCTTTCCCCCGCTGTCCCCGCCACCCCCCCGGCTCTCGCTCGTCCCCGCTCTCGGCGGGCTCGGCGCCCCGCGGCTCCGCTTCCTCGGCGGTTTGCCCGTGCCCCTGCCCCGGGGAAGGCACTTGAAGGTGGATCTATTAAACCTCCCGGTCGTCTCTCCAAGTGCACTTCTTGGACCAAATCTTCGGCATGGATGTAAGATTTTACCCGGCTGCGGCGGGCAGCGCGCTCCCCGGAGACCCCTCCAACCTGGACTTTGCCCAGTGTTTGGGTTACTACAACTACAACAAGGTGATTATTCCCGCGGGTGTTAACTCCTCGTGCTGCTGCCCGGGCCGATTCCCCTGGAGCCGGAGTTGGTGCTCCGTCGGGGCGGGGAGGCTCGGGGCTGGGGGATGCCCGGAGCCCGGGCAGGGTGCCGCTCTCCGCGGGGCCGGGGGACACCCGGACACGGCAAGTTGGGGTTGGCGGGGTCGGAGCTCGGGGCCGGGC